ACCACCATTATCTCGCTCGCGATCTCGACGGTGCACGTTGTACCCGGCACAATTCAACAAAGTTGAATTGCTGTGCAACTTCGTCTCTTGGACCGCAGCCATCAATATACCATGCGTTCCCATGAAGACGGCTATCTCCTCGATCTTGCTCTGAGGCCCGTTACAGTTAAATTGAAGGAGCTTTATGTGGTTCGGGAGACGTGTTGTTATTCGGGGTGTGAGAGATGTGTGTGCCCTTGACGCCATTGGCTGTGTGCGCTGCTGTGGTGGTTGCCGCCCTGTGGTAGCAGTGGGTGGCGTCGCAGTTGGGGTTTGCGCCCATGCAGCGCAACACGGGCCCTCGAAGTTCATCGTCCATTCTCGCGTGGCGCGCAGACCTGAACCTAAACATGCCCTAAAGTGGCACCAGCCAAGGCAGGTGTTGCACTTGACTGATGTCACATTACGGAATATTCATACATACCGTGCAGATTGTAGGAGGAACCAAGAGTGGTTGGCTGCGGCGCGTGGGTGGTGGTGCAGTTGCGTATGTTCTGTGGTCTGTCGTGGTTGTGGTGTGGTCTATTTTATTGTTATGTTGTTGTGCTGTGGTGTTTGTGTGGAGCTTCTCTGGTGGACTGGGGTTAGCCGTGGAGGCTGCTCTATTTCAGCTGCAGGGGGCCACAAACGGCGTGGTCCACTGCCGATGTGTTCGTAATCCTGAGCAGACTCGGAGGTGACTCCACCCTCGCAAGCTTTGCACTTGACTGGGGTGGGGTTGTGGTGTAGTCGTCTTTGGCATATACAGCAGGTGTAGGTTTCTGGCCCTGGGTTTGACTCGATGCCGGCCCTGAGCAGAAGAATACGTAGGGAATGCAGCTCTATGGACGAACAACTTCTGAGATACTTCGCCGACCTAAACTGGGTCAGATCGCCGAAACAGCCCTTGGTCGGGTAAAACCCGAGTCATTCCGGCACGTAGAACCGGCTGTCGTGGGAATTAGTGATTTTGGGTCGGGCCGTGCGGTGAATACCACTTTCTTCTTCCTCGCGTATAGGAGAAAGGGTTGCACGAAAGCGTCGTGCACACTTAGACAGGGTTTCTATATCCGATATGGGTGAAATTCTGCTGGTCATGCTTAGGCAGCGGATGGTGGAGGTTGGGCTGCTTCGCCAAAAGCTGCTGTTCGCTGTGGAGTTCCGGGAAACGTTAGTTGGAGCAATTTTTTACAAAGAAAGAAAACTTGTAGGTTAATAGGTGTTCAATATCACGACTTTTGTGATGGGGCGGATTATTATGCCTTGAGCGGTGCGAATTTCCACCACTCGGGTTTTGTTGTCCGAACCGAAATAGGCCTTCTCGATTCGGCCCAGTTTCCATTCGTTAGGGGGTAAGTTTCCATTTCTAATGGCGACTAAGTCACCCCTTCGATGTTTCTTTGTGGGTATTTCCATTTACATATATCGCTTGTGAAGTTCCTTTCGGTATTCCTCCTTCCCTCTTTTACAAAAATGCTGGTGGAGTATTTTCGATTTCTGCCATCGGTTCGCGGTGCTTAAATTTGCATCGCCCAAGTTGGGTTCGGCTGGGGTGAGTATCGGGGTACCTATAACTGTCCTAGGTTTAAGGTTCCAAATTAGTTGGATCATCGCTTGAAGACCTCAATGAACGTGAGTTTAAGCAACTCTCGATGCGGGTTAGTAGGGTAGCTAATTCTTCAAAGGTGAATTTCTGGATTTTTGATACCTTTTTCAAACGGGTTTTCAAACTTTTTACTCCGGCTTCCTATAGCCCACCCCATGTGTGGAGCTCCGGGAGGGTTGAAGTGTCAGTTGACGTTTTGATGGGTATAACTGGCTGTGACTTGAGTTTTAAGGTTTTTCACAAATTCTCGTCGGTCTGGCAAATAATTGTGAAGCTCCTACGAAGTTCGTTCCGTTGTCTGAGTAAAGATCGGCGGGGCATCCGCGCCTGGAAAAGAAACGTGCGAATGCCGCCATAAACGCTTGTGTCGTAAGATCGCTAACGGGTTCGACGTGTATTGCCTTGGTTGCGAAGCAGACATATACACAGATGTAACCTTTGGTTATTAGACATGCTCTTCCAGTGTAATTTTTGATGTCATAGGGTCCAGCGAAATCGATTCCTGTGGCGGCAAATGGACGGGTTAGGGTTGTTCTCTCCGCTGGAAGCCCTGCCATTATTTGTGTTCGTTTTTCAGTTATGGATCATTGCTTTTATGAGAGTCTTTAACTTTGGAGTCCAAAATTCTGTTCGAATGACTCGCAAAATTAGTTGAATTGCCACCATGTAAGGTTATTGAGGGAGTAAATCGGGTCAGTAGCTTTGTCATATGGCTGCCATAAGGTAATAAAATCAGATGACGTTCGTTGTATGATAATGCCGCGGAATTGCTCAATCGGCTATCAAATCGCATCACTCCGTAGGATCAATTGATGGGTTAAGTGTCAGTAGTGAACTTTTCTTGGGTATCTGGGTCTTTCAGGTCAAAGCGTCATATACGTCCGGGAAATGAATTTCTTGGGTCAAAATAATCAGCTTCGTTCGTCTCCTTTTGAATTCGTTAGGAGTTATTTCTCGGCTTGGGTATTGTTTTTCACGTCTCCTGGGTGAGGCATTAGAGCAAAACATGAATAAATACGCAATTACACGAATGGCTTTGGGTAGTGAGGAGAATCTTTCAAGGATGTCCTCTTGGGTCGTTNAATAATTGTGAAGCTCCTACGAAGTTCGTTCCGTTGTCTGAGTAAAGATCGGCGGGGCATCCGCGCCTGGAAAAGAAACGTGCGAATGCCGCCATAAACGCTTGTGTCGTAAGATCGCTAACGGGTTCGACGTGTATTGCCTTGGTTGCGAAGCAGACATATACACAGATGTAACCTTTGGTTATTAGACATGCTCTTCCAGTGTAATTTTTGATGTCATAGGGTCCAGCGAAATCGATTCCTGTGGCGGCAAATGGACGGGTTAGGGTTGTTCTCTCCGCTGGAAGCCCTGCCATTATTTGTGTTCGTTTTTCAGTTATGGATCATTGCTTTTATGAGAGTCTTTAACTTTGGAGTCCAAAATTCTGTTCGAATGACTCGCAAAATTAGTTGAATTGCCACCATGTAAGGTTATTGAGGGAGTAAATCGGGTCAGTAGCTTTGTCATATGGCTGCCATAAGGTAATAAAATCAGATGACGTTCGTTGTATGATAATGCCGCGGAATTGCTCAATCGGCTATCAAATCGCATCACTCCGTAGGATCAATTGATGGGTTAAGTGTCAGTAGTGAACTTTTCTTGGGTATCTGGGTCTTTCAGGTCAAAGCGTCATATACGTCCGGGAAATGAATTTCTTGGGTCAAAATAATCAGCTTCGTTCGTCTCCTTTTGAATTCGTTAGGAGTTATTTCTCGGCTTGGGTATTGTTTTTCACGTCTCCTGGGTGAGGCATTAGAGCAAAACATGAATAAATACGCAATTACACGAATGGATTTGGGTAGTGAGGAGAATCTTTCAAGGATGTCCTCTTGGGTCGTTATTGCGAAAGTCTTTACAGGTTTGGCTTCAAGGGTTGTGCTGTAGAGTTTTTGAGTTGTGGGCCACTGTTCTCGTTCGAGTTTTAGCCATTTGGGTCCGTACTTCCAGAGTTCGCTATTTATGAGTTCCGTGGGCGTACAACCTCGACTTGCCAGATCACCGGGATTATTCCGACTTTCGGCATGGCGCCAGTTATTCATTCCGACATTTTCCGTAATTGTGGTGATTCGATTAGATACGAGGGTATTCTTAGGAACATTGTGGCTTCTTTAACCATGATAGAACTATCGATGATTCCATCCAAAAATTAGCTAGCAGAACGGCTCCACGGAGTTCTAATCTTGGAAATAGGGATGTGCCGGGTATCCGGTAGATATCCGGAATCCGGCCTATCCGGCCGTTTTTTGGTTATCCGGTTATCCGGCCGGATACTGGCTAATATCCGGCCGGATTCCGGATATCGATTATAGAAGATTCAATTGAGAAATTTAACCCAGATTTTGTATTTTTGTAATCCAATTTAAAAGTGTCTAATTAGTAATCAAAGTTAACAATCTGTATATCTTTCATTACGAAAAGAAGCATTTCCGCATTATCGGGCAACAACCTATTTCTATTTTCAACAAAAATGTTACCCGATGCACTAAATACTCTTTCCGAGTTCACTGAGGAAGATACTTCATTGCCAGTATAAACAAATTTGGAAATTCTTTGCGGCTATACTTCCACAAAGTTAAGGGATCTTCTTGTCTGGATATAAGAGGTAGCTGCAAATATTTCTCTATTTCTAGTTCATAAATCGCTGCCTTTTTTCTTGTACGTTCGCTGCCTTTTCTACCAATCGTTGGGCTATCCATATCACTAGAAACATTAG